CAGACAACGCCTCCTCACCTCGCTGTCGTCTGGCCTTCAATTCCGCTCTGTGGAGGTCGGTCCTGACGGGTGGAGCAAACCGACCCTCCAGAGCTACCAGTAATTGCTGAACATCCTGGCGTGTCGCGACAGGAAGCGACTGGTAGTAGCACTGCGCATTATCTATCAAGTACAACGGGATGTACTGTGCCTGGTCCTGCGGCGTCCACTGATTAACCAGGCAAACTTGAGTGAAGTGGTCACGCCAAGTAGTCCAGTCCGAGGCTGCTCCACCATCAAAACGTTCCGGAGTTGCCCATGGCCGGATGGGTCGAACGGGAGCTGGCTGGGCGGGCTGAACTGGCTGGGCGGGCTGAACTGGCTGGGCGGGCTGAACTGGCTGGGCGGGCTGAACTGGCTGGGCTGGCTGCACTGGCTGGGCGGGCTGAACTGGCTGTGCTGGCTGGGCTGGCTGAACTGGCTGGGCTGGCTGAGCTGGCTGAACTGGCTGGGCTGGCTGGGCTGGCTGAGCAGGCTGGGCAGGACGGGGCGGCTGGGCCGGCGGTACTTGCTGGTTAGGCTGTGCTTGGGCCATTCCGAACCAGGAATCACTTCACATTGTCACAACAACAAAAACATAGCATGAAAAAAAAAACCCGAAACATCCACCGCTGCCACCAGTTGTAGCGTGGCCCAAGTGGTTGGGCACACAACAACCAACAAGTCTCACCAGAGCAAGGAGAAGTGGTTGAAGAAATGAAGCATGATCTTTCTTCAGAGACAGAGCTTTTTATATGTGCCAAGACTAAGAGAGTTCAGGTTTCACATAACAACGAGCAACGGTTTAGACCAATCAGGAGATAGAGAGATGGCACAGATTCGGCCAATCAGAAGACATGTACTCCTATCGCGTGAAGGCACAACATAAGGAGATCCTCTTGCTATGCCGATGTACGCGTTGGGGGTACTCCCCATGGTGCGCGGAGTGGCAACCCCAGGAACACGCCAGAGCTGGTATGCGGATGACTCGTCCGCTGGTGGTGGGCTCAATCCTCTCCGCCAGTGGTGGGACCGACCCGTCGGGGATGGGCCGGCATTCGGTTATTTCATCAACCCCAGCAAGTCCGTCCTCGTCGTCAAGCTGAACAAGCTAGAAGCAGCCGAGACCATCTTCGCCGGTGCGGGTGTGTCTATCGCCTTTGGCGGGTGCCGCCACCTTGGATCAGCCATCGGAACAGATCAGTCCGTGCAAGAGTTTGTGGCTTCCAAGGTGGCCACCTGGTCGCAGGACTCGCGCTGTGCAAGCTGACCGCCGGCGGATTTCGCCCAATCACAGCCTCAAGCAGCATACTCTGCACTGGCGAACAGTGCACTTTTGTTGATGTACGGGTGTTCAACCCTTATGCATCTTCGAACCGCACATCCTCTCTCTCTCCTCCTGCTACCGGCACCACGAGAAAGAGAAACGGTGTCGATATGATCGGCCCGAGACTGAGTCCGAGAAGTGGAACTGTCCACTTTTCTCCCCAGTGTCCTCTCTTCCACCGGAGGATGGGGCAAGGGTGCTGCTGCAATGGTGAGCCGGATCGTATACCTCCAGTCGCTGCGTGGGAGGGAGGCGTATTCTATGCTAATTGCCCAACTTCGCTGACGGGCTGGCTTTCCGAGCGCCCTGCTGCGTTCGAGCGCCGTTATGTGTCTGCGTGGGGCTCGACGAGTTTGGCAGCCCAATAGGGCTTGAAAGTGCTACGTCACTCCATAGCAATGGCATAGCAACAATTTGAAAAATTCGAAAACTGGATCCACCTGGATCCAGTTTTTGTATGGATCCAAGCACATTTCAAGCGGTCTCACTCACAGCAAGGTGATGTTGCCAGTGAAACTGACTGATTTGGCTAGTGGGGGCGGGGTGACAACTGGTGGCGAAGTAAAAGTTGCACCTGCATACGACATGAGTGGGTTGCTATGCACCCACATACTGAGGCAATAGCAAAGTCACACCTTAGTGGATCCAAAATAGAAATCTGATGTCAATTTACTACTCCCAGGCCGTTTTTGACGTCATCACTTTCAAGCCCTATGGATGGCTGTGCATCCCTGGCTGTTGTGGGACTCGTGGAGGCTAACACGGGCAAATTATTATTATTATTATTATTATCAAATTTTTTGATAGGGCAATCCCCACAGAACAAATGGCCACCTTACTAGTACTAGCGGCTGATTGTGTGGACTTGAGCTATGCAGTATGCTAGCTCTAGCTCTCTGATCACGTGTGACTAATCTTCATCTAAACATAATGTGAATATTTTTGTCAATATTTACCCGTAAAAAATCTGGGCGATCTCTCGCGAGAGCGCCCCACCTTGATTTTACAGCCAGAGAAAGGAAAATCGTATGGCAGAGTGCAACGAAGTTTGTACGATGTAAGAATCTTAGTGTACTAAGGTCACACTTGGCAGGTTTTGTGTGTACATAACTAACGTTATCACATGGCACGTGATTGTTGCCCGTACTCCAGCGAATCAGCACCTTTCGCGCCGCGGGCAATAATATGCGATATTGCCCGCAAAAAAATAGTTTATTTGCCCGCAAAAAAATAGTTTATTTCAGTGATCGCGTGACTACGATCGTACGACGACCCTGCACAGTGCAGTGATCCTACTGAGTGACAGACTCTGTAAATACTGTATATGATGATTCGTTTTTATATACATGTATGTGTTGATTCTTCACAAAATGTGTTATTTTGCCCGTACAAGAGGCTCAGTGCAATGCTGTTAAAAAAAAAAAAAAAAAAAAAAAAAAAAAAAAACTCTGTAGACCATGGTAGACTGTACGACTCTACGACGAGTCGCAGTGTACGTGTAGCATTGAGACGAAGATGGAATTCTTTTTGGAGATGGACATCCCGGCAATGGACATGGCCTCGGACGTCTGCCGTGTGGTGCTTGCAGGGATCATTTGTTCAGTCATGTTGGCAGCCTGACCGTCGGTAAGCTTGTGGATAAGATTCAGTTCTGCTCGAAGTGGTACTGGGATCACAAACAATTATTTGAAATAACACAAATTCAACTCAGCGTCGTGCGTTTTCAAATCCTCGCAAAGTCACTGCCTGTGTGTGGTCTTCATGTGCCACGCAAAACTCTTACCAGGCTCATCTCACCTTTGCTTGAACAACAAACACAACAATTCAGGAATGTTTTGCAATGAAAAATACAGCTATCTGGAGCTGAAAAAGAAAAAGAAAAATTGTCCTCAGAATTACACACCAGGGAGTCGTCAAATACTTGCACTTGTTGCAGTACTGTATTTGACAACTTCCTGATACACATGTAAACATGAAGAAACTCTTTGTGGTAGCACTCTTAATTTTTCAATTGAAATTATGATTCTGCTGTATTTTATTATCGTTGCCATGTCAATTGCTATGACGATGCGGTGCGGCACTTTTTTTCTGTCTCCGTCTTTCAGTACTGTATACTCTCTGATGGCCTGTAGAAGACTTTTTGTTAGGGTGTAGGAGAAATATCTTCATTTTTCCTGTTTTGATAATAATAATAGCACATCAATATACATTGTGGTCATAATGTGTTGGCATTTGGGCTAATTTCAACAGCAGCCCAATGGTCTGCTCTGTGGGCCATGTGATAAATTTGTTATCGCATGGTTGCTGCGGGCCTTATGGCATATTATTGCCCCTCGAGGTTAGCCCTCGGGCCTACGGCCCTCGGGCTAACCTCTCGGGGCAATAATATGCCATAAGGCCCTTGCAACCATGCGATAACATATACTTACTTGGTAATCATGCAGTTTAGGGTCCCAGATTATTTCGCTACCATGGTGTACTGTCACACGCGTTTTCAGTGTACTTTCACATCATGAACTTTATTTTCATGAAAACCGAGGACAGATCAGACTGGGTACTGCTGGTGAACCAGGTGAACACTGCGGAGCAGGGAGCCGAACGTGTTGTCTTCCGCGCGAACTCTCTGTCTCCACACGAACTCGCGGTGGCACGTCGGCAACAACTCTCGCGAGGTGACGAAGTTGCGCTTCAGCTGGCGCTTGGCCCGCACATGTTTTCCACGTTGTTGGTGTGGATCGTTCGGTCGTCCGGATCAACAAAGTTGTCGTCGTAGACGACGACATCGTGCTGGTATACGCCACCGTCGCGTCGATGTTCCTGATCTGCGCGTATGCGGCCCAGCCGTCAGAGACGATGCGTGAGCCAGGCAGAAACCACTCGCTGATACACCGCCGAGCGGCAAGGAACTCCAGTTGACCAAGTTGGGTTCTAGAAAAGATCGGCGCTAGTGTGAACACCGTCCACTTCTCCATCAAAATCGCATGATCATTTAGAATGTGTGCCTGATGGACAATGCGTATCAGCGCTCCGGGACGCCCAGCCATTACCACAAAGTCAAAGAAGAACTTCCATAAAGGAGACAAAACTTTGACAAAGGAAACAAAACTTTGACACGAGAAAAGAAGAAGCATAGTGAAAGTACACATGTTTTCATGAAAATATAGTTCATGATGTGAAAGTACACTGAAAACGCGTGTGACAGTACACTGAACACTGGGAAAGTGCGAAATAATTTGGGACCCTAAACTGCATGATTACCCACCTATGTACATGATGTATGATCATGAGGTTTTGTGTGGAGCAGGGAGTCGTCAAATACCGGTATTGACGACTCCCTGGTGTGGAGCTTGTGTCCGCTCGAAGGTACGGATTGACTGCAAAACGAGTTACGTGCTATTGTGTACAAGGACAAGGTTCATGTCGTATGACCTACAGACAGCAGACCACCTCCACAATACGACCACGAAAGGATGATCAGTGGATGGCATGGGGCGCTCTGGCGGTACTTTACCGTAGTTTACGGTACTCGTACTCGAGTTGTAGGGGCCGGGCCAGGGCCTAGGGGAACTCCCGGCCAGGCTGCGCGAGGCGCTTTTCAAAAAAGTCACCCAAAAAATTAAAACAAAAAAACAACAACAAAACAATCAGCCGTGATTTGAATGATGAAATCGAAATGCTTGAGAAAGTACAAGGAGAATTCCACATGGCGTTCAGTTTGTAATGGCCCTGTCTAGGCTGGTGCGGGTGGTTCCATCCTCTTGCTGTCGTTGCTGCTCGTCATCACTCAACTCGCCTGCAATGTCCACTGGCCACCAGCCGTCATCTGGTTCCACGACGAAATCTGGCGACTACGAGTTTCTTAGCAATCACGCCCCTGGTTTCCCCGTGGATGGTGATACAGTGGAGGTGCTACGCGAGCCCATTGACTTCTATCGTACTGTACAGGTGTGTTGTTTCTTGAGATATTAGTAGTCAAGGCGGTTTGCTTGCCAAGCGATCAATTCTGTCGTCTTGCGCTGAGAAAATAAAAAAATACTCTAGTTTTGGGGAAATTTGTCGTCACATGCACAGTGCAGGACATCAGGAGAGCCCATGAGTCCGACCTACACGAAGCCTTGTTCAGTGATCTGTTCGCTGCGCAGTTTTTTTGAAGCAAGCCAACAGTTTCTAATCTTCGTTCTAATGATGGCCGGTGGCGGGCAAGTTTATACGGATGGTTGAAAACTCTACTAGTGACTACAGTCGACTCCTGATATAACGAACACCATTGTGCTTAGTTCTTTATACCCAGAGTTCGTTATAACAGAAATGCACATACACTGGGTTCGAACTGGGACATGGACAACAGTTCGCTCTATAACGAAATTCAAAGTATGTGACTTCGTTAGAAGTGGAGTCGCATGTATCTTACAACCAGCAAATGGTGCTAAACACACACCTGGACTCACACTGTTTCTATATTACAATTCCCGCATTTAAAAATCGGCCCTGTTAGCGCCACCCATTTGCTAGCGCCTGGTGCCTGATGCCTAGCCAATGAGTGCACAGTGCTGGCTTTCATACTGGTCAGGACACTGCTGCTTGCGAATAGCTATCACGTTACACACACACACACACACACACACACACACACACACACACGTACCTCAGACCTGCCCATCGCTGAAGCGATGATAGCGAACAGCTATGTTGGACATAGCAACTTGTGCTGGGATTACACCATTCAACAGCTTGCAAGGCTGATGAATTGACCGCCACAATTTTTAGCCTGGTATCCACCACACAGCTGATTGAAGTGACTTTTTCTGGCCAGTGAATCCCTATTTTTCATTTTTCCATTTTTTCATTTTTTTCATTTTTCTTTTTCGACACACACACACACCACACCACATACTCCGGCATACACTGGCTGTTGGTAACCACCCAGGAGAATGAAAGAAGAGCTAGGAGAATGAGAAAGAGAAGAAAGACGTGTGCGACCATAATCGTCGGGAATTGAACCCGCAACCTCTTGATTGGAAATCGACTGCACACACCACTGCACCATATGGGACACACGTACACAAACACGTACACACGTACACACACACGTACACACACACGTACACACACATGTACACGCACACACACACATACACACACACGTACACATACACACACACACATACACACACACACACACACACACACACACACACACACACACACACACACACACACATGGAGTCATGCAGCGCTGCTCACACCAGTTACTTTGCCCTGTTGCGCGTTGTGAACGCTATTCCAACTTTGTGTGCATACAACACACCTGGGTGTTCGCCGGACCCTGTACCAAGCGGATTCATGTATTGACTGGACAAATTCTCATGCACTGACGTGCTGTGGATCGAACTTGCCTCCCTGGATAAACCGGAATCCTGTCATATCAGGACAGTTTCCATTGCGCCAAGAGCATCCCGTTAGCGCAGGTGTCACTGTGATTAGGTTGACAACGTGGTGATGTGCTTTTCTTTCATGGCCATCTCAGGGGATTTCCTGTAGCTCTAATTTGCAGGAATAGCCACTGTCGTGGTTTGAATGTAGCAGGCGGGCTTTGGCGCTAAATATACGAATAATCGTGTGTGCGTGCATGTGCGCGCGCGTGCGTGTGCGTGTGTGTGTGTGTGTGTGTGTGTCCCATATGGTGCAGTGGTATGTGCAGTCGATTTCCAACCGAGTGGTTGCGAGTTCAATTCCCGACGATTATGGTCGCACACGTCTTTCTTCTCTTTCTAATTCTCCTAGCTCTTCTTTCATTCTCCTGGGTGGTGACCAACAGCCAGTGTATGCCGGAGTATGTGTGGGGTGGCGTGTGTGTAAAAAAAAAGGAAAATGAAAAAATTATATAGGGATTCACTGGCCAGAAAAAAAGCCACTTCAATCAGCTGTGTGGTGGATACCAGGCTAAAAATAGTGGGGGTCAATTCATCAGCCTTGCAAGCTGTTGAATGGTGTAATCCCAGCACAAGTTGCTATGTCCAACATAGCTGTTCGCTATCATCGCTTCCGCCATAGGCATGTCTGAGTCTGAGTGTGTGTGTGTGTGGATGTTTGCGATGTCCCTGCAGAATGGTGTGCGCAGTGCCAAGAAGCGAGTGGTCCTGGCATCGCTGTACCTAGGTACAGGAGAGCGTGAGCAGGCTTTGGTAAGTTAGCTACACCTTATCACATGTAGCCTGCGTGTGTGTGTGCGTGCGTGTAGGTGCGTATGCGTGTAGGTGCGTGTGCGTGCGTGTGTGTGTGTGTACGTGTGTGTGTGTGTGTGTGTGTGTGTGTGTGTGTGTACGTGTGTGTTTGTGAGTGTGTGTGTGTGTGTGTGTGTGTGTGTGTGTGTGTGTGTGAGTGTGTGAGTGTGCGCACGTGTGCGTGTGTGTAGAGGAGAGGAGCTCAAAAGGAATCTTGGAAAAGAGGACTAAATTGAATCCTCTTTCCAAGATTCCTTTTGACTTCTTCTCCCCCCTTCTCCCAGGGAGACCCACGTGACCAATTTTGGCAATGAGCAAGTGCAGTACAATACAGTACATTTAGCCATTCGAGTCATCTTTCCAAGGTTCCTTTTGAGTCTCTTTCTCCTCTCCCAGGGAGACCCACATGACCAGTTTTGGCAGTGAGCAAGTGCAGTGCAATACCCAATACATGGTATGGTACATGGAGTGTGTGTGTGTGTGAGGGTTTGTCGCCCTGCTCTTGCGATCATCAGCTCATTGCCCAATGGCGTACAGCGGCGCTCGGTGAAATCCGACCCAGAGTGCATATCTGGCACCCTCAGCTTGCACGACCCTTGACGCGCTGGAAGTGGCACAAATGAAATGCGGCTGGACACACACATGCACAAGTACAATGATTTATCGGAACTGCCAGGGTGCCAGCTCTGCCTTGTGGATAGGATTTCAGTGGGCACAACTGTACTGTATTTTCCGGAGCATGGGCGGCTCTTTGAAGTTTGAACACTCAAAACTCACCCAAAAAAGGGGGTTACGGCTTATGCTCCGATGATCAAATTAACGGCGGTAAAATAGGATAGATGTCTGTATTAACTACTTCGTTGGAAAAAAAAATAGGAGGGGCGGCTTTTACTTAAAATGCGGTAGTTTGTGCCGCCAACGCGGCACCTTCGGATGGTTGTGTGTGCTTTTGAGTATTCCTTTCCTGATCTCAAGTACTCACACACCGCAGTGTCTTGTATGAACGCTTGTCTCATACGGAAGTTCACAGGAATAAGCATGTATCTTTTGTGTGACATTACGTTATATGCTCTCTCTCTCTCTCTCTCTCTCTCTCTCTCTCTCTCTCTCTCTCTCTCTCTCTCTCTCTCTCTCTCTCTCTCTCTCTCTCTCTCTCTCTCTCTCTCTCTCTCTCTCTCTCTCTCTCTCTCTCTCTCTCTCTCTCTCTCTCTTCTCTCTCTCTCTCTCTCTCTCTCTCTCTCTCTCTCTCTCTCTCTCTCTCTCTCTCTCTCTCTCTCTCTCTCTCTCTCTCTCTCTCTCTCTCTCTCTCTCTCTCTCTCTCTCTCTCTCTCTCACACACACACACCCACGCACCCGCCCCCCCCCACGCACACTTTTCTCAGGTCGATTCTCTGGCAGAGAACCTCACCTCCAACCCAAACCTCCGTGCACTGGTCCTGGTCGATGGCTGCCGGGGCAGTCGTGGCTCTGCTAACACGCGCACCATGCTAGCACCATTGCTGAATACGGTGAATGCAAGGCCGCCGGTACAAACTGAGAGCACCTTAGCTGAGCCCAGCTGCGCAGAGCGGGCATGCAGCGCTGCCAGCAGGCTGCACGTGGCGCTGTACCAGACGCCGGAGTTGCCGAACTGGATCCGCTGGCTCGTGCCGCACAAGTACAACGAGGTGCCCAGCCTGCAGCACATGAAGATCTACATCTTCGACAATGACGTAATGCTTAGCGGGTAGGTTCACCTGCCGTCTGGCCGGCCCAGCGGGCCGACGCTTATCCAGCACCGGTTGTGATGACAATGTCATGCGGCGTGGGCCTGCGTCATGTGATTATGTCATACTGAGAGATTGTGTCATGTGATGATGTCATACCAAGAGGGCTTATGTCGTGATGATGTCATTGTTAGTCAGTCGTTTCTGCTGGTGGTGCCACTTGCTTGTTGCACGAGTCTGCATACGGGCGGGTAGGGCCGGGTCCACTTTTTATGCCCTTTATGCAATGACACACGGTGCTGCTCAACGAAATCCCTCTCATTTCTAAAGTGTGTGTTTGTTTGTTTGTTTGTGTGCGTGTGTGTGTGTTTGTGTTTGTGTGTGTGTGTGTGTATGTTTGTGTGTGTATGTTTGTGTATGTATGTGTGTGTGTGTGTGTGTGTGTGTGTGTGTGTGTGTTTGTGTGCATGCGTGTGTGTGTTTGTGTGTGTGTGTGTGTGTGTGTGTATGCGCCTGCGTGCGTGTGTGCGTGTGTTCATGTATGCTTGTATGTGTGTGTGTTTGTGTGCGTATGTGCATGCATGCTTGTGTGTGCACGAACGAGCGTTCACGGCTGTACGTACATGTTTCTGTTCAGTGCCAATCTGAGCGCAGACTACTTTCACCAGCGTCAGGACAGGTTTGTGCTGATCCGAGACGCACCGCGCCTTGCCGACTACCTCACGTCTGTTGTTGCCACGGTCGCAACTCACTCGTACAGCTTGCGTGGCGACAACGTACTGGAATTTTCCGGCCAGACTCGCCAACAACTGATGGCCATGCTTGGTGAGGTGTGCGCTGGGTCGAAGCCGTCGCCAACTGATAGCGACGCACTACCTGACCCTCTTGTCGCCGGAAATCGCCGAAAGTTCTATGCATCACTCCGTGCCGCGTTGAAAGCACTGCGGACATCAGCGCAAGGCGACACTAGCTTTTTCGGAGTATCGCAACCAGAACACTCAACAGCGTCATCCAATAGTGATGCTCTCGGCAATACCAGGACGGGCGCCGGCCAAGGTGCGTACCGTCGGTGACTGAATCTCCGTGCGTGTGTGTGTGTACGTGTGTGTGTGTGTACGTGTGTGTATGTGTGTTTGCCGTGCTCATTGGTTCACTTAACCCTTTCCTAAAGATGCCAAATTTTTCGCCACTTACATGTACGTGTATGCCTTTCACAATCATGCCCAAACAAATGAAGAAATCACATCCGTTTTTTGAATTTTTTCACAAAAGCTCAAAAATTTGATAACCGCAATCAATAAAACTAGCTGAACCGACATTTGTGTACTTTATTCATGCAATGTAAAAACGGTGGAGACGATGTGCAATAAAATGATGAAAATATGAAGAAATGGTGTTTAATATGTATATAATCATACACGGTCTGGAGGGCTTGATGGCTGAATCATGCCTGAGCTCCCAGCCCAAGGGCCGTAGGCCCGAGGGCTGGGAGCGAGGGCATGATTCAGCCAGCAAGCCCGACAGACCGTGTATGATTGGATTTCTTACTTGACCCATGCGCACTTTTGCGCAGGCACGGAACGTAGCCTACTCAAACATTGAAACAAGCCAAAGACTAGCACAGTTCCGCGAAAAGTCACTCTGCACTAGTCACAGCCAGAACACACGAAGTAACAAGAGTCAAGAAGACAAGCGGCATTCCTTTCTACATGCACTTCCACTTCTTTCTTCAAAACCCGCGCCTTGTCACATTATTGGCTACATCTCGTTGCCACTTGACCACGGGCATGATTGTCAATCATACCTGAAGTGACGTCAGTGTTGCCAAGGGCAGCGGGCATGATGGCTGAATCATGCCCGCGGCGGGAAAGGCGGTGATTAGACAATTCCTAGGATACGGTCACGTGTCATGTAAGAATATTATTTATTATTATTATGTGCTTGTTCGCGTAGACATCAGCATGGCCTGCAGCTGCATTAATGGGCATGCAAATCATGCAAACCAGCCAAAAATGTTCGCATAAGCCACTTCGAATAGATACAAAAGACCACAACAGTTTCAGAAAAAGAAGAAATATGCGAAAAGAAGACAAAAACTAGGGTGCTGACACTACTCGGGCACAGATGCCCACCCAACCGCTTCGGTCAGCAGCAAGAGCACGGAACGCCTCCAGATCGACTTTGCTTGACAAGGAAAGTCCAATCCGCTTGGCATCATCCTGTAGTAGCGTTGGTAGTGTGTGTCTTGGTCGTCCCCTCCAGCCCGCTGGACGAGGCTCTGCGAAGTACGCTCCCATGGCCAGTGATGGTGGGGAGTCAGCCGGGAGCCGGAGGACGTGCTCAAAGAGCCTCCACCTAGCTCTCAAGATGATAATGCCGAGAGGAACCGCGCCGGTACGCTCATAGAGCCTCTCGTTCCTAATCCGATTCGGGAACACAATGCCGATTAGCGCCCGCAGCTGTTTTCGGTGGAAGGCCTCAATACGGCTCAGCTGCTGTTTCGTTGGTGCCCATGTTGCACAATTGTAGCAGAGTACAGGGAGTACAAAGGCATTATAGAGCCGGATGCGGAGATCCTCCGAAACTAGCGACCTACGGATCCACAGCGTCCAGAGTTTACCAAAGGCAACAGTTGCCAGTTGCTGTCGCCGTAGCATATCCTCAGCATCACCTAATAGGGACCCGAGTTTCTTGGTGGTTCGCCACTCCTCCTCGTTGCGATCAGTGTGCCGTTCGATGTGCGTGTGCTCTGTTTTGGTCTCATTCACTTTCAAATCCCATTCGAGGAGCTTGTTGGATATGGTTGGAAGGAGGGTCCTCAGCCTCTCACCATCAGTAGTCACGAAATCCACATCGTCGGCGTAGGCAGTTTCAGTTGGTAACCCCAGGGAGATATCGGCAGGGGGACGTGGTAGAAGAAGAGGCCGGACATCACGCAGCGCACCCTCAAGGTACACAATGAAAAGAACAGGAGACAACGAGGCACCTTGGGGTGTGCCGCGGAGAGTGGGGAATGACGGGCCCTTAGCGGATGGGAGTACAACCCGCAGTACGGTGTCCTGGAGGAGGTAACTGATCATTCGGATTTCATCCGGCTGCAAGAACGATCCCAGCACCGAGATGAGCCGTGGCCTGCTTATACAGTCAAACGCTTTTGACATATATCAATGCCTAGGATATCCAGCGCACAGCGATAGCGTTGGCATCGAGCCGCCAACCATCGGTATGACCACACAACATCTGTGGTGCTTCTGCTGGGGCGGAAACCACTTTGTGTGTGTGCAACGAAGTTGTTGACGTCCTTGTTGATCCTCCGCAGCACAGTCAATGATAGAATCTTCCTGAGCGCTGTGAGTAAAACCACGGGCCGTAGGTGAGCGACTGGTCCCCTTGATTTGCCAGGCTTTTGTAACGGAATAAGCGACCCACTACCGATGCTGTTCAGGGGCAGGCCTGTCTCGACGGCAGAGTTGAGGACCTGGGCGATATTGGAGTAGACGAGGGCAGGTGAGTACTTTAGCAGCTCCCCTGGCATGTTATCTGGGCCACTTGACCTGCCATTGTTCAACTTTCCAGCTGCCTGTGTCACCTCTGCCTCAGAAATGGGCCGCTCAAGCCGGCGGTACTGAATAGCGCAATCCTGGTCGGCAAGGCCCGGTCGCCGCAGCAACAGTGCACCAGGCTCCGGTGTGTACAGCTTAGAAAAGTGGTCGGTGATTTGGATGGCTACTGAGACTGGCTGTATTACTTGTCTACCCGTTTCATCATGCACAGTGATAGGCTGTTGTTTTTGTCGCTGGAGTAGATGGACTGCATGAAACATCTGTGCTGTATCCTTCTTTGCTTCTACTTCCCTCGCCCGAGCGTCCAGCTCATTCGATGCTAGTTCCTTTGCTCGCAGCCGGATTCGGTGTGAGAGGGTGTTCCGCCGATGCTTCAGATCAGCCACTTGTTGTGGATCCCTACTTGTAGTTATCAGCAGTCGTAACCGTTTTTTCTCTTCCGACCAGGAATGTAGCTGATCATCCATGAAACGCTGTTGCTTCTTTGGGGGCTGTGCCAGTCCAATGGTATTCTTTGCCGTTTGCTGGATGAAAGACGAGATCGATGTCCAGTGTGCTTCCGGTGTGGATGTGTCTACTGCGCCGTTGGCGATCCGATGGGTGAGTTGGGACTGGAAGTTTTGCCGGCAGGTGTGTTCGCTCAATCTATGAACCTGAAACTTCTGAGCTTTTGCGGTTCTTTTTTTGTTGTTGTTATGTGCCCACAGAACATAGATCCTGCTCAGACGGGCGCGTGCAACAACGAGCCGATGGTCTGATTTCACCAGTGTCCCAGCATAGGATCGGGCATCTGTGAAAATCTGCTTCTGATTGCTGCTACACAAGATGAAATCTATTTGATTGTATATAGGGATAGAGCAACCGCCGTTTGGGTTGTGCCTCCAACCTGTCCAGGTTGTCAGATGCCTAGCTGGATGTTGAAAGGCAGTGTTACATGCAAAGAGACCAAACGACTCGCAGAAATCCGCTAGCATAGCTCCGCTGTAGTTACGACGTCCACGACCATATCGTCCGGTGCACGAGCCGCCTGAGTCATCCCTCTGGCCGAGTTTGGCATTGAAGTCGCCAGCGACGAGAACGAGTGAACTGGACCTTACTGAACCCAGGTAATCTCCGAGCGCTGAGTAGAACTCGTCGAGATGGACATCATCTGCCGCTACGCGGGTTGCCGTTGGCGCATACACATTGACGAGAGATAAAGTACTTCTCTTGGACAAATTGATTTGTATCGCAGCTCCTCGGTCTGATACTGACCATATCCGATGAATACGTTCAAACAGGCTGTTGTGAATAGCGAACCCAAGCCCATAATGCCTGTTCGCCGTTGGTAAGCAGAGTATCCTGTAGTCACCAGCTAGTTCGTCGCAGCCGTCCTTTATTTTAGTCTCTTGCAAACTGCAAATTTTAATTTTGTATTTCCGAAGGTCATCAGCAAGCTGCTGTTTCTTTAGGCTTGACGACAAGCCGCGGACATTGAATGAACCCACACCAAAGTCTTGTTCTGTACTACTGTCATTACGTTGAGACGCAAGCGTTCGAAGTGAAGAAGACATTGAGCTCCAAGAGGAGCCTGAGGAACGTCACCCCCTCATCCAAACAAAAAATGGTGTAGGGAAAAAATATGGATTCAAACAAGTTTTCGTACAACACTCATCAGGAATCGTCGTTGTACTAAAGGACACTGAAACAAAAATTGAACTATTGTAGAAAATCTAAGTTAGAGAAATAACACTAAGAGCAACAACAGTGAAATTTACAAGTGTGAATTTTAACAATCAAAGCGAGAAATGAACAAAGGAGAAAGGAAGGAAAGACAACGTGATAACACATAACAGCAGTACAATACACCTAGAACATTAACGGCCAAGCTTGGCCGCACTAAACACGACACGTTACTTGAACAATTTCAACCCAATTATACTATCTTTCTGTACACACAAATTAGGCTTGTACAGACGCTGATAGATAGCTTGCAACACTTTTAACTGTAGTCCATAACCATGACGACCACGGCACAATACAGTGAACGAAGAGTCGGAATACTTTGTGTGTACAGAAAGATAGTGTAATTGGGTTGAAATTGTTCAAGTAACGTGTCGTGTTTAGTGCGGCCAAGCTTGGCCGTTAATGTTCTAGGTGTATTGTACTGCTGTTATGTGTTATCACGTTGTCTTTCCTTCCTTTCTCCTTTGTTCATTTCTCGCTTTGATTGTTAAAATTCACACTTGTAAATTTCACTGTTGTTGCTCTTAGTGTTATTTCTCTAACTTAGATTTTCTGTAATAGTCCAATTTTTGTTTCAGTGTCCTTTAGTACAACGACGATTCCTGATGAGTGTTGTACGAAAACTTGTTTGAATCCATATTTTTTTTCCCTACACCATCTCTTCATATTTTCATCGTTTTATTGCACATCGTCTCCACCGTTTTTACATTGCATGAATAAAGTACACAAATGTCGGTTCAGCTAGTTTTATTGATTGCGGTTATCAAATTATTGTCTCCTCGCCGTGTGTTTAAGCTCAAAAATTGCTAATAATTATCGCAGTGAGCACGTTTTTTTGTGCAAACAATGATTGATTCACAAGAATAACCGAAAAGGAGTGGAAACAGACAACGCTGTGGCGCAGCACAACTAACTGAGTCAACTAGTAAGTAAAGTCATGTGTAAACATATGAATGCATATGTTCACAAAGTAATTCAAACATGCACTAGTAGAGGGAATGGAAAGGGAGATTTTGCGTCGTCGACTGCAGAAGTATTTTTCGCTCACAAATTTGATACAAGAAACATCGTGTTTCACGGGGGAACTTATGATTCGGGTACAGCTTTTCAAAATAAAAAGGCATGGCGTGGGAGTATGACATGATTGCGATCGTAACCTAGGCAATGACAGCAACACACATAATTTCCGTACTCCGGAACAGTTCACAACTCGAAAACGACGTATCTGGTAAGAAAAATTTTCCTCCGGAACCTCTTTATTGATGTAGTTTCGTGGCATTGCACTTCCGTAACATTTCTCAGCGTAATGCAATGAAACTACCTCAATGAATAACGGATACGGATACTCGGCTGTCTGATGATTGATTGTTACCATGAAACTCTGAGCCACAACAAAAAGCCTTTACTTTCCTTTGTGTAGCGTTATGTCAAGGGACCGAGCGGCAGTGGGGTAAAAAACCCGTGCCCTGCGAAACTTTGTCACCGCCGAGCATGAAGGTCTACGTTGAACTTCCACAAAAAAACATGTAATGGCCGGTTGTGCTCCAAGCAGGGTTTCAGCGACAAGTGCTGCTGTTGGAGGTATGGCATCTTTTTGCCGATTTTTCGAGCAGTTGCCTTGAGATTTGGCCAATCTTTCTGGATCAGAGCAGTAGCTACGGACTGATGGGTCTCGTAGAAGGACGGGACAAAAGGGCCGTCCCTCTCAAGGGCATGAGTTGCCTGCGCACAGTGCTTGCTAATGTCGATGAAAGCAGTTAGCTGACAACGGACTGCATGTGCCATGAGCCCGACAAGGTGCTAGGCGGCCATCACTCAGACGATGCATTGTCGATGAAAGCGGTTAGCTGACGATGGATTGCACGTGCCCTGTACTGTGCGGTGTTTCGACGAGGTCCAGCAACTTTGCTGCTTTTGCTGCTGGTGCTGTACCTGGCTGATCTCGAAGAAATGGTAGTATGTCAGCAAAGTATACGCCGACTTGGTTCAGCATCTCCCAGTTCTACCACCGCCGTGTGTGTTGGTCAGTAGCCTCTCTTGAACGTCTCACCCATCCAACACCTGGCAACCTTCTCTCGCTGCAATCCATCGCGCAGGCGTTCAGCTACAGGCAAGTCTTTACCCGTTTTCTTCCTGCTGTGAGCTACAATTCTGCACAGTGATGCACTGGATGCGCCACGCCAAATTGTTTTTGGTTGAATTACCGGTGTTGAGATACTAAAAGGAGTCGTACTCCCACACACAACGGAACAACTTGGGACAGGTAGGAGTAACGACATTTATTATGGGAGACGAAGAGACGGAGACAACGACGAACGACTGCATTACGGAAGAGAGAGAGAGATCGAGTGAGGGAGAGAGAGAATGCAAGATAAAGGGGCTTGGTAGCTATGGTAAATATGGGGCGAGCAAGTAGCTACCCAGGCCAGCGGAACAAAAGGTGAGTATGAGGGTAAGTACGGGGTACATGCAGGCCAGCTTGGCAAAGGTTGGAGAATGTACGGGAGGAGGTACCTAACACCGGTGTTTAAAGTGTAGCTTATGTACTCTGGGGAATGCTGTAATGCACGTATCACAGCCACCAGAGGTCTCCGCTGCGCCCCTGAAATGGGTCTGAAATCTGAATGCATTTGTCCTACGTGCAGTCTGTGACGTGACCTTTTGCCCTCCATGCCATGGGGCCAAGGCAGCGGAAAAGTTGCCAGGTACAGTCTGTATCGGCTATGGCGTACCCTTTTGATTTATCACTATAACCGATTCATCACTATATGCGATACGATCGATTTTTTTCTTTCTTAATTCTTTTTTTTTTCGATCGACACATGAAAGGCAAGGAAATACTTCCAGCATGGCGTTTGGACAAATGAGCATACTGCATAGTTGACAGTGCCCGCATTTCCATAAAAAAATTCTGTTATGTACATGTACATGTATCACTATAAAAATAAGCAACGTGAAGAAAGTAAAAAAATAGGGCCTTTGATATTATTGCAACATGTATTTTAAAGGGGAAGTTAAGGCAAAAATTAAAATTTCACCAGTTGTAGTCTTCGGGGTGCTGAGTCGAATGGTCGTGGTCCGAGGAAGCTGAGACGCTCCCTTCCTACTTGAATCCCAATCGAACTCGCGCACTTCCACCGAAACTGGGTGACTGCGCCCTACTAGATGGGGATTTGTATGCAAAATGTCACTAAAAGCGCCATTTCGTTCTTATAAAAGTACGGATGACCGCGATTGGCCCATATGTTGTAGTCTTTTGGACGCTGAGTCGACTGGTTTTGGTCCGAAAAGGCTGCGATGCGGCGTTCCTCCTTTATTCCCAATCGAACATGGTTGAAGAAGCGGTCACGTGCTCCTGCGTACACCAGTCACCTGGTCACCGTGCCTGCAGGGTACAACTTACTAGCCTGTTTGACCTTTTTTGGGTGCAGTCCTGTCACTCGAGTTGAACTCGAGTTGAACCTTGGTGTGAAAGTTGTCACCTGCTGGCGTGGTGACCAGGTGATTTGGGCACCCAGGACCACGTGACCGCTTGTTCAACCATGTTCGATTGGGAATAAAGGAGGAACGCTGCATCGCAGCCTTTTCGGACCAAAACCAGTCGACTCAGCGTCCAAAAGACTACAACATATGGGCCAATCGCGGTCATCCGTGCTTTTATAAGAACGAAATGGCGCTTTTAGTGACATTTTGCATACAAATCCCCATCTAGTAGGGCGCAGTCACCCAGTTTCGGTGGAAGTGCGCGAGTTCGATTGGGATTCAAGTAGGAAGGGAGCGTCGCAGCTTCCTCGGACCAAGACCATTCGACTCAGCACCCCGAAGACTACAACTGGTGAAATTTTAATTTTTGCCTTAACTTCCCCTTTAACCCTTTATCACCGGCCTGCAGACTTTCGATCATATATGATCGAAAGTCTGTAGGCCAGTAATATCTTCGTAACTCCATCATTTCTTGTGCGAATTCAACAATCGAAAGGTCTATTTGGTAGTGGAAACTTCAAGCTATCCAATGCAACAATCGCCGAAGAGTTACGATGTCGGACGCCAGAGATATCGCGCGCCGTATTCTCATCTCGGCAAATTCAAATTTTTGATCGATCACTTCGCCATTTTTGGGGGAAATCCCTTTTCGTGTGCTCTTTGAGCGACTAAGCACATGATAATGACGTAGTCGGCTGAAGTTTGAATCGTCTCAAACAAATTTGAGCGTTCTGCGATGAAGGAGAGTGGAATGGCGTTGATGTGACGAATTTGCTTGCATATCAGACTTGGAGACGACTTTGCGGTGTTACCGCGCCTGATTTGTGGCGACTGGATAATGGAGCTTGGTACCCAGGCGTAGCTCTCGCCAAGAGCTTTCCAACGAGCCCTAGATTGTGAAAATCAAGTGAAGGAGACCAAAGTTATGACCTGGTGAAGTTGGAAATTGTGCTGAAATTCGTAATTCTGGTGCATGCTGTGCAAGTAATCCGGTAATAAAGGGTTAAAGTTATCACTATAGCCGATAATAATATAGTGTGTTATGCATGTTTTGATTCTTTGTTGCCATCATAATATCCGATATATCATTACATCCGATAATATTGGGTATAGTGATATTTTTACTGGATAAAATACGTTTTAATGAAGAAAGGAAAAGGACAAAATGTTGTGAGTTATGACAAACTGTCCACCAACGTAACCAGATCGTATACAGTCAGCGAGTGCGACAAAATGGCACAAAACTGACAAGGAGTACTGAGACATTCGGCAACCTGACATCCAGCTCCAACACTTCTCCAAGGCGCAAACCAACTTTTTGATATTTCGTACCAATATCACGGTAGCCGATACATGTATATTCTTATATCCGGTCACTCTATAGCCGATACAGACTGTACTTGTAGCAGTCCGCGCGAAGATGAAGAAAGTTGCAAGATTGCGATTTCTTCCGAAACGATGAAAAGTTGCGGACCAGCTTTGGGAAAGGGCACAGCGAAGATTTTCAAGTGACTTTCATCACTTTGATCAGTGAATAATCCATTTGTGCGTATGTGTCTGTGTGTGTGGGCGCGCGTGCGTGGTTGTGTGCTTGTGCATGCGTGTCTGTCTGTCCCTCCGTCTGTCTGTCTGTATGTACATATGGCTTCCACTGCCTAATAATCATCATCAGCCACTCGTCTCGACAACCCGGCCGTGCAGCAACCAGACGATGACACTATACTATACCCGCTGCTGCAGCTCGGACCGGCCGGTATCCAAGACGACGAGACGGCAACCCGCCGCCTCCTGGAGCTGTCCCGTTCCCGTGGTTACGGTCTCCGCTTGGCGTCGGGGTACTTCAACCTGACACCAGAGTACTCCAAGTCCTTACTAGAGCGTGGCCAAGACCAGACTGACTTTACGGAAATCTTACTGGCATCTCCACAGGTACAGTCAATGCCTGTTGCACATTACCAAGTAGGAAAGGTATGAGTTACAGCAGCAGTTACTGCTCCATGTACTGCACTGGTGCGCTGTGCAGGCACGCAGATAAGAGTAGCGCTCCATCATGTACTACAGTACTGGAGCTCCGTGCAAGCCCACTGCTCATGTACATGGAGCACACGAGCTGTATTCGAAACTACTTTTCTGTTTGCGGGCCTTTTTCGGTCGAAAGAAGCTCTAGTTTTGACTCTTTGAGTGCCTGTCGTGACGATTCTCGAATTTCACTCGAAAATTCGATTTGCTGATGCTCCATATTCTTGCACTGTTCAACACTCTACGCACACAGCACACAACCATAGCCAGCTGACTGTACAAAAATGTTCCTGGCACAGATGACGGCATGGTGAAATGAGCGCAATCGTTGAGTATCTCCCTGGTGTGTTTAGCAGTGTGATAATATATGATCAAGCCGGCCTGGTTTATCATCCAGTCTTGGATGGTGTCATTGTCACCACAGTACCTGCTTCAGTCTCCTCCTCCTGCTCTCTATCTCTCTGTCTCTTTGTCTCTCTCTTTCTCTGTCTCTCTGTCCCTCTCTCTCTTTCCCTCTCTTTCCTTCTCTCTCTCTCTCTCTCTCTCTCTCTCTCTCTCTCTCTCTCTCTCTCTCTCTCTCTCTCTCTCTCTCTCTCTCTCTCTCTCTCTCTCTCTCTCTCTCTCTCTCTCTCTCTCTCTCTGCTGCGCTGATGGGCCAAGCAGTAGCTTCCACGGATTGAACCGTCTTTCCCGCATGCGTTTGTGTGTATGTGGCGTCTAACATGCAAATCTGTACAGGCTAACGGGTTTCTCGGAGCGCGCGGTCCGCGTGGTTCTATCCCAGCCGGCTACGTGCACCGTTGCAAGTTGTTCTACCAGGCTGTATGCCAAAGCGGTTGTAAGGATACCGTACACATGGCCGAGTACTTCCGCAATGGCTGGACGTTCCATGGGAAAGGTAACGCTATTGTCATTCAAATATTCGACGTGGAGATAACAATTTTAATATTGCAATAAGGCTCTATTTTCATTCCCCAGCTTTTCCAATGGTGTAAAATTATGGTGTGTTTCAATCTGCTCCACTGTGCAATCCCTGCACAGCTTGCTACGTCTGTCTGTTTTCCTTTCAACAGTGTGTCTGCGATTGACAGCTCACTTGCAAGGTTTTCTGTTGTCGTATTTGTGTGTGTGTGTGTGTGTGTTTGTGTGTGTGTGTGTGTTTGTGCGTGTGTGTGTGGGTGTGCGTGGGTGTGTGTGGGTGGGTGTGCGTGCACAGGCTTGTGGTTGTATCCCGTCAACTCGGACACTCCCGATATGACAATGGTCGGCTCTCCAAACTTCGGTAAGTCAGTAGAAGATTGCTGCATGTTCTCTGATCCTTGTGTGGGGTTGTTCCCATTGATACCTAAAATTCACTCGAACCATAAAAAAAACAAATTGCAAAATCGCTGCTGTATCGACGCTGGCCGGAGGTGCTGCTGCTGCTGGTGAAAGCTGTTCTGTATGGGCAGCTTGCAGTACTGCAGTGCGCCGAAGAACGGAACGCTGAGGAACGAGCAGGCTAGAATGTCACGAAGTACAGCATACGAGTGTATGCATGGTGACCAAGATTACATTATCCCCACCCAGAGTGGGCAACTCCCGCATACCCTGCTGGTCCGACAGAATTTCAAGTTGACATCATTTGGTTGATGCAATGCTCCTTGCACCAGTGATTTACGACATTTTTTTACGGAGCGTCAACGCATCACACGTTTTTCTTTGCACAAATTTGTACAGGGTCGAATGGGGCTTTGTCCAGCACAGGTTCAGGATGCGTCTGATAATGCGTGTACAGTTCGCATTGCATCATAAAGGTGACGTCAACTTGAAATTCTGTCAGGACAGCACCCATAGTCGAGTTGCACACTCCTGGGGGCTTATGTACTCTTAACAATGACTCCACTATACATAAACCATAATACAATAAAACCTGTCAAGGCGACCGCTCGGATAAGGCGACCACCTGTCCGGTGGTCGTTACAACGAGTCCGGTTAGTACATAAACCCCGTTAGTAAATACTAAATTGTAATTCTGAAATCCCCTGGCGAAACGTGGTCTATGCAACTGTTTCCAAGTCCGGATACTAGATAATTCGTTAGTACATAAAATACGTTATAACGACCCTTGGCCCAAGTCTCTCTCTGTCTCTCTCTCTCTCTCTCTCTCTCTCTCTCTCTCTTTCTCCCTCTCTCTCTCTCTCTCTCTCTCTCTCTCTCTCTCTCTCTCTCCCTCTCTGTCTCCCTCTCTGTCTCTCTCTCTCTCTCTGTCTCCGTCTCTCTCTCTCTCTGTCTCTCTCTCTCTCTCTCTCTCTCTCTCTCTCTCTCTCTCTCTCTCTCTCTCTCTCTCTCTCTCTCTCTCATCTGTAGGTTACAGGTCTACATGTCGTGATGTGGAACTCCAGGTTGCCATGGTCACAAAGAATGCTTCTCTTCGGCGAAAACTCAAGCAGGTATGCGGTGTGTGTTGTGTTGAGAGTTCCAGTCTCAGAAAAAAGCAGCTGTTCAAGCAAATGAGGTTTGGATAAAGAAAGTTGTCGAGATTTGTTTAAAGAGTTCAATGTGAATATTGGCTGCAACACTGTCGGGCGCCGAAGAACGAACAGGCTAGGATTTCACCAAGCACAGCACAGCAATGTACACATGGTGACTCAACTGTGCATTGACTGCAGTATTTTCAGTACACCCAACTCATGGTGACTCAACTGTGCATTGACTGCAGTATTTTCAGTATACCCAACTCATGGTGACTCAACTGAGCATTGACTGCAGTATTTTCAGTACACCCAACTCACAACACACGAACGGTCCTTGACTACGCCACGTCCAGTAAATTGTATAAAATGGTCACCCAGGAGGGCATCATCAGGGATGCCTGATGAATTTTCATGTACATGTGCTGTAGTACAGGCTGTGGACACTGATCTCGCAACGGGATTCAGCACTCGTGCTACTGTTGGTGTAACGTATTTCCCCGAATATAAGTCGCACCTTTCTACACTGGCCTTCAAGGGCAGAGAAGGGGGTAGGACTTATTGCTCGAACCTGAAAACAGGGGTGCAACTTATAATCGGATGTGACTTATAATCGGATGTGACTTATTGGGGAAGTGCGGTACCTACCAGTTACTGTCAGACAACAATTTCGCCTATTTTCGGCCTTTATACGAAGAGAAAGGACCAAGGATCATATTTGATCATATTTGGCCGAAAATTTGTTGCGGCCGAAATTTTGTTTTGCAAGCTTCAGTATGACAGTGCATACAGTCAGCAGCAGTACAGGCCGGAAATGTGTTGCAGCCGAAATGTGTTTTAGCCCTGGGAGGCCGAACATTTGTTGTCGACTTACAGAATGTGTTGAGTTACCCGTCTCATTCTCGCTGGGCCTGCACTAGATCTGTATTTCCCTTGTTTGCTTTTTCCTTCTTGTCCGTGTTGTGCTGCAACGCACCGCGAATGCAGGAAGCGGATTATCTCTTCTCGTTTGGCCAGAGCGTTGACGAGAGCACGTTCCAGCGTCCCGACCACCGGGTGCCCTGGCTGGTGGCCGTCATTGCCAATGTCGTCAAGAAGTTTGTGTAGCTGCTGCGATGACACGCTGCCTTGGACGTTAGTGTCTTCTTCACGGCTGCTGTTTGAACACTGATGTCTGGTGGCGGAGTAGCAGGGCTGGCATGACAGTACGTACTAGAGCGCTGGACTGCATCGCGCCCGTGCTCCGTCGACTCGTTCCTGAGAGGGAGAGCGTGACAGCCCTGTAGATATTCAATCCAGTGCAAGGGAGACCTACCACTTGCTGACAGTGGAGGGCGATGCGGCTATTGGCGACGCTGGCGCACGCTCTGTTGATATGCGTGTCTACGAGTTCAGCCCAAGCCACACGGTGGAAAAAGTCAATACAGAACGCACTTGAGAGCTGGACTGCATCGCGTGTGGTCCGTCGACTCGTTCCGGAGAGAGAGAGAGAGAGAGAGAGAGAGAGAGAGAGAGAGAGAGAGAGAGAGAGAGAGAGAGAGAGAGAGAGAGAGAGAGAGAGGGGAGAGAGAGAGAGAGAGCTGTCGTGTGACACCATTCTACGCACAGTGCTGCTTGATATCCTGATGTGAATCAAGTGAATGGCCTTCACCCAGTGTTCGCAGATCTATGGCTGCACAGTGCCCGGCGTGGCACTGACTCGCTTGGCGGGAGCTCATTGAGCAGGACTGTAGATGATACACTGGGAGCTCATTGATCAGTACTGTACTGTACTGTGCTGTACTGTACTGTACTGTACTGTACTGTGCTGTGCTGTACTGTACTGTACTGTACTGTACTGTACTGCCATGTGATGATACACTGTGCTCAATGGGATTGTCAATACAGTCAGACCTCGCTTATCCGGATCCCTCGCCATCCGGAAGACAACCGTTGGTTACTGACTTACATTATGTCATGCATACATACAGTACATGTATGTGTGTTCGATTATCCGATTCCCTCGCCTATCCGGATATTTGTGGAAAACGAATGGGTGTGGTGGTGTGCGAGGTCTGACTGTACGTATGCACTGACCTCATGTTGTTGTACTACTACATGTAGCTGCAGACTCGTGTACTGCAGACTGCAGTGTCATGTGATGACACAGTCTGCTCCCGATGGCTTGCGGATGTACCCACCAAACTGTGATCATGTTGTACTGCATGTAGCTGCATACTCGTTGGTGACACCGGTGTCACCCGCTGCACACGCCCGTCCCATGTCTCTTTAGCACGCGAAGGGTTGCTGTTGCGCACGCGTGTGTGTGTGTGTGTGTGTGCGTGCATGTGTACCAGATTCTTGCTGACCTGTACTGACGTGAGCTGAAACCGTAACTGGCTCAGTTTTGTTTCGGGGATTTCCCCTCCAGTAATCCTTACCGACTCTGCCTCAACGGGCCAGTATGCCTTTTTTATCATTTTCTTATTGCTATATTCTTAGAAATGCCCGCTGGTCCGAGCTGCACGTTGCAGCCTGTATTTTAGGAGTATCCTGGGATTTTTGTTTTGTTATTGCCGCCATTTTCCGGCGTGGTTGGATTTGCTGACTTTCTGGACTTGATTTTCTCCCTGCCTAGCACCATTCCACCAACAACCTGCTACAATAGTTCTCTATGCCTTCTTCTTGATTTTTACTCAAAGTAAGTTTTTTTTATTGTTCACTGGTCGAGGGAATAGGAAAGGTTTAAAAAAACCTTGAAACCGTTGTTATCAAAACCATGCAAGTAGCTCAGTTTGATTAAAATTTTGATTTATTTCTGGAAATTCTGGTTTATTCCCAGTCCTCAACCGCTGGTGTATCTGGCAAGTCATGTGGAGTGTCGTTATGACCCACTTTTCTTGGACTTACCGCCTACCGGGTACTAGTATGTGCGAGTTTCTGCAATATGTTGTAGTTTTTGCAGGTCGATTGGTTTTTTCACATACTTTGAATTTGATCATGCATGAGACAGGTGTTGTTACTTCCCTACAATTGTTACTATTGAGTACTATTGGCCCGGGGGCTGGGGACCTGAAGCGGGTACTGTACTCAGATTGAACTGTACCTGCTGGTATTATTGTCAAGATACAGGTCAAGATACAGGTATAAAGCCTTTGGCTTGAGGGCTTATACAGTCATACTAGTACTGTAGTAGTACTCTTCAACAGATACTCCCATCAACATAATTATTATGTTATTCCATTGTCTATCCGTTTGGAATCCACTACCCACGTGTATTCGGGAGATTGAACACCCCGGCAATTCCGTACATCCCTCATGCAAGAATTTTCTAGTTGTACGACTGTATTCTGCTTCTGGTGTACCTGTACGTACCCGCTTTCTCCTAGCAGTATTGATTAACCAAGCCATACGTCATTGCACTCATCTCCCTTCCTCCCTCTCCTTCTCCCTTTCCGTACACACAATGTACTGTATGCTGTCATTGTTACGCACTTCTACAGTCCATTCAGAAAAAAATGAACTTCTAGCTTTTGGCCATAAATGGGTCAAACGTTGAGTTTTTTTAGAATTTTTTTCTGCAATCCCATATGGAATCCTCTTCCAATTATGTTTCTGAAGTTTTTTTGTCCAAAAAGCAAGCCATAGCAAGAATAGGATTTCGGCCAGGTTTTGCCCCAAAAGCACTGAATTGGGAAAAACCATCAAAATCCAGGCCGTTTGACCCCGCCTGCAACAGTGCATTCTGCGGTTCGAACCCCAGTTCAGGCACCCTTTTTGGACCCTTTTTCAAATTTCAAAGTTCGCAGCACTGCACTGTGTACGATGAAATCACGAAAAATCGCCAAATACGGGAGCTCGCCAGAGCCAGGACCCATCTTTTTATGAATGGACTGTAGCGTCATATCGACGTCATCGACCACGTTCTATAACATGACTGTGCAATATTCAAACTCCCGAGTCGCAACTACTTTTAGGGGTCGCACTTGGTATCATGATCAGCTCTCGACATCGCGGCCATCTTGCTTTTGACTGCATGCGCGACGCGTGCTCTTTTGGATCACGTGTGTGGTTCTCAATGCATTGTTTGCATACAAAACTGTACAAGCGCTACAAAGCTACGTGTGATCAAGACCTGCAGGTTTCTGTGAACAGAGTTTCTTCTTCACTGATACCGTTCTTGTTTTGACACGGCGATGTTCTCTTTCCCCGTTCTCCTTTCAAAATAGACTTCCATTTAGTTGTAAGTCACAACAGCAAACTTACTGGTAAGTGGAAGTCTAAGGCTTGCGTGCAAGTATTCCCGCTTTGAATTCGCGTGTCAATACTCAGAACAACGACCGTGGGAATCATGTGAGTGGAGTATTTCTCAGGAGGAAGACGTTCTGTTTGCAAAGTTGCTTCGATCCGCAAGGAGTATTCCAGCAACGAGTACACCTGCTACGGAAAGCGATCCTATCGGGACTTACTGACGGTATGGTTTTCTTGTTTTATGTCACTCGTATCGGTACTTTTCGTACTGCATGGACTGCACTTGTATGATACCTGTGACACAAACATCACATGGTGTCGGCTTGGAGTTGGTCTTGGAGTCTTCATGGTCCAGCAACGCAGCATCGCCGAGTTGGAGAAAGAAAGCAATGAATGTACATGAACATTGTTCCAAAACTAAGACACAGGGCAAAGCGTTGCAGCAGGCAGATCATTCTGATCCCGTCCGCGCAGTCGCGCACCAAATAAACTCGAAAGGCAGTCCAAGTACATGTACTTTCCGACACTGCGCGATCGCGCGAGCGGCTCGCGCCGGGCCGTCAGTGCAGTCTTCAAAATGTTCCTTGGCAGCCATCTCTTCTCCGATTTCGATGATCGAGGGCTCATTTTCTTTATTAGAATCTCCTCCGTAAATCTACCGAATCAATTCTTTCCTCAACGACATAGATTTACTGTCAGAATACTGGAAAGCAGGGCGACAACGCTCAGAAAAAGCCCTACACACGGATTTC